AGAATTATACCTGACTTCTCCATGGGAACCATGGAAGTCTTGGATAGATGTGCTGCAATCACTAAGAGACCATAGATACAAGCCCAGCAAAGCTTTCTTTCACCATCGATGGAGAAAACAAGATATTCCAGGACAAAAACAGATTTAAACAATACGTATCCACAAACCCAGGCTTACAGAAAGTACTAGAAGGAAAACCACAACCCAAGGAAGCCAACAACACCCATAATAACACAGACATCTGACATCCCTCCACCAGCACAACTAAAAGAAGAAACACTACCACCAAAAATAATAACCAGAGTCAACAACCACTGGTCATTAATATCACTTAATGTCAATGGACACAATTCACCTATACAAAAGGCACAAGTTAAGAGAATGGATACGAAAACAGGATCCGACGTTCTGCTATTTACCAGAAACACACCTTAACCTCAAAGATAGACACTACCTCAGAGTAAAGGGTTGGGAAAAGGTTTTCCAATCAAACAAACCTAAGAAACAAGAGGGTATGGCTATACTAATGTCTAACAAAATTGATTTTAAACTAAAATCAATCAGAAGACATGGAGATGGACACTTTATACTCATAACAGGAACAATTCATCAGGACGAACTCTCAATCATGAATATCTAGGCCCCTTATATAAAAGCAAACACATATGTAAAAGAAACATTACTAGAACTCAAATCACACATCAAACCTCACACACTAATAGTAGGAGATTTTAACAATCCTCTCTCACCAATGGACAGGTCAACCAGAGAGAAACTTAACAGAAAAATAAGAGAACTAACAGATGTAATGAATCAAATGGACTTACCAGACATCTATAGAGCATTCCACACAAATAGAAAAGCATATACATTCTTCTAAGCATCTCATGGAATCTTCTCAAAAATTGATCATATACTTGGTAACAAAGCAAATATCCACAGATACAAAAAAATTTTAGTAACCACCTGTGTCTTATCAGATCACCATGAAATAAAGTTAGAATTTAACAACAATTTTACCCCCAAAAAGCCTAGAAACTCATGGAAAATAAACAGCCAATTACTGAACCACCCCTGGGTCAAGGAATAAAGAAAGAGAGAAATTAAAGTCTTCTTTGAATTCAACAAAAATGAAGACACAACATAGCCAACCTATGGGACACTATGAAAGCAGTGCTAAGAGGAAAGTTCATAGCATTAGTGCCCACATAAAGAAAAGGGAGAAAGCTCACATTAGAGACTTAACAGCACACCTGAAAGCTCTAGAGAAAAAGAAGCAGAGTCACCCAGGAGGAGGAGAACACTGGAAATAATTAAACTGAGGGCTGAAATCAACAAAATAAAAACACAGAAAACATTCCAAAGAATCAATGAAACAAAGAGCTGGTTCTTTGAGAAAATCCACAAGATTGACAAAACCCATCCAAACTAATCAAAAGGCAGAGAGAGAACACAAAAAATTAACAAGATCAGAAATGAAAAGAGAGACATAACAATAGACACTGAGAAATTTAGAGAATCATTAGGACTTACTACAAAAGCCTGTATTCAACAATAATCAACTTTATATGGAAAAACAAAAAACCCAGGATAGCCAAAACAATCCTATACAATAAAAGTACTTCTGGAGGCATTACCATCCCTGACTTCAAACTCTATTACAGAGCTACAGTAATGAAAACAGCTTGGTATTGGCATAAAAACAGAGATGATGACCATTGGAATCGAATCAAAAACCCAGAAAATAACTCACAAACCTATGAACATCTGATTTTCAACAAAGGAGCTAAAATTATACAATGGAAGAAAGAAAGCATCTTTAACAAATGGTGCTGGCATAACTTGATGTCAACCTGTAGAAGAATGAAAATAGATCCATACCTATACCCATGCACAAAACTCAAGTCCAAATGGATTGAAGACCTTAATATGAATCTGACCACACTGAACCTGATAGAAGAGAAAGTGGGAAGTAGTCTGCAACACATGGGCACATGGGCACACTTCACACATATAACCCCAGTAGCACAGACAATAAGACCAACAATGAATAAATGGGACCTCCTGAAACTGAGAAGCTTCTGTAAAGCAAAGGACACTGTCATTAAGACAAAGATGTAACCTGCTGAATGGGAGATCTTCACCAACCCCACATCAGACAAAGGTCTGATCTCCAAAATACATAAAGAACTCAAGAAACTAGACATTAAAATTCTAATTACCTCAGTTAAAAATGGGGTACTGAACTGAACAGAGAATTATCAACAGAAGAAGTTCAAATGGCCAAAAGATACTTAAGGTCATGCTCAACTTCCTTAGCGATCAGGGAAATGCAAATCAAAACAACTTTGAGATACCATCTTACACCTGTCAGAATGACTGAAATAAAAAAAAACACCTATGATTGCCTATGCTGGAGAGGATATGGAGTGAGGGGAACATTTATCCATTGCAGGTGGGGATGCAAACTTGTGCAACCACTTTTGAAATCAGTGTGGTGGTTTCTCAGAAAACTGATAGTTAACCTACCTCAGGATCCCACAGTTCCACTCTTGGGAATATACCCAAGAGATGCCCAATCATCCAACAAAAGCATTTGTTCAACTATGTTCAAAGCAGCATTATTTGTAATAGCCAGAACCTGGAAACAACCTAGGCATCCCTCAATAGAAGAATGGATAAAGAAAGTGTGGTACATATATACTTTAGAGTTCTACTCAGCAGAAAAAAAAAGCAATGGCATCTTGAATTTTGCATGGAAATAGAAAACACTATTCTGAATGAGATAACCCAGACCCAAAATGACGAATATGGAGTGTACTCACTCATTAGTGGACTCTAGCCATAAACAAAGGACATTAAGCCTATAGTTCGAAAGCTCAGAGAAGCCAAATAACCAGGTGAACCCAAAGAAAAACATATATTTATCCTCGTGGATATTGGAAGTAGACAAGATCGCCAGGCAATAGTTGGGAGCATGGGGGTGGGGGTCGGGTGGGGTAAGGGAAGAGGGGGAGAGAGAAGGGAGAAGAGAAGAATTGGGGAAAGCTTGGAAGAGTGGGATAGTTGAGATGGAGGAAGGACGGATATGGGAGCAGAGAAGAAGATATCTTTATTAAAAAGCCATTTTAGGGTTTGCAAGAGACTTGGCTCTAGAGGGTTCCCAGGTGTCCAAGGAGATTTCCCCAGCTAGGTCCTTGGGCAGCAGAGTAGAGGGTGCCTGAACTAGCATTCTCCCATAGCCACACTGATGAATATCTTGCATATCACCATAGAACCTTCATCAGGCGATGGATGGAATAGAGACAGAGACCCACATCAGAGCACTGGACTGAGCATCCAAGGTCCAGTTGAAGAGCACAAGGAGGGAGAAGATGAGCAAGGAAGTCAGGACCGCGAGTGGTTGGTCCACCCACTGAGACAGTGTGCCTGATCTAATGGGAGCTCACCAAAGCAGCTGGACTGGGACTGAACGAGCATGTGATCAAACCGGACTCTCTGAATGTGGCTGACAATGGGGGCTGATTGAGAAGCCAATAATAATGGCATTAGATTCTGTGAGACCCCAACTCAAATAAGACCCCAACTCAAAAAGCCTGCTTGCAGCTGCTTTTAGCACATGCCGTAGATAGATGGCAATCAGCAAGGGAAATGTACAAAACTTGAAAAACAGCCCTGACTGCCACTCGCACCCTGACCACAGTACCCTGCACCACCAGCCTGTCAAGAAACACCTAGTGTCCATGATAGGGCTTGGGAACTTTCCGGGACAGGGTTTGGGTTTTTTTTTTTTTTTTTTTTTTTTTGGGTTTGGGGTTTTTATGGTATTTTGGGGAAATAGAAGGAACAAATAGCTATGGCCTAAAACTGACCCAAAAAGCCAAATGTTGTATCCAATTGTTCTGTACCTTATACCCATTATTATAATGTTGTGGTTTTTGCCTATAAAAAAGTTGCTGGAATTGCTGTTCGTGGTTCTCTGCCTCTTCAGAGACTAGAGACACCGGTGGCGCTATCATAATAAAGCCTCTTGCTTCTTGCATTTGCTGGACTGGTTAACTGAGTCGTGGGGCTTCTCCCTCTTGGGCCTGCACCCAACTGGGTGAGGGTCCTTCAATTCTACTGCATATACTGGCTTTTTGGGATCCTAGTCTGTTTGGATGCACACCTTCCTAGGCCTGGATGGAGGGGGGAGAACCTTGAACTTCCCACAGGTCAGGGTACCCTGCCCCTTATTAGGACTGGAGAGAGAGGAGGAGGAGTAAGGGGGCAGTAGGGAAATGGGTTGAGGGGAGGAAGTAGAAATTTTGAATTGTATTATTTATAAAACAATAAAAAGAAGTCAACATAAAAAAAAACCCACCAGAAACTGGAATGTTCGTATCTTATGATGCAATGAGACAATGACCTAAGCAGTCTGGCAAAAAACTTGAAGCACCTTCTTATCCTATAAATCTCAACCTTTTGGCAGGTGAAAGACCTTTTTACAGGGGTAGCCTAGGACTACCTGCGTGTCAGATGTTTGCACTGAGGTTCATAACAATGGCACAATTGCAGTTGTGAAATAGAAACATGGATGATTTTGTAATTGGGGAGTCACCACAACACAATAATTGTAATGTATTAAAGGGTTGAAACACTGGTAAAGTTGAGAAACACTGGCTTAGAAAACTTCTTCTTACCTAAGGTCTATGGTCTATTAATTCTTAAGAATTCTTATCTGGCCTCCTTATATTTGCTAACTTTGTCAAGCTTAAGCTATTTTGATAAACTGAGTCATATTAGAAACTGTAATATTCTGTAAAGGTGTAAAAGGATCAGTAAAATTACCATTCTCTCTGTGAACTGTGTCTACGAGTTAAAAAGTTTATTTTGATACTAAAAGGAGCTTCAGTTGAGGAACTGCTTTATTTTTAAGGTTCAAACTTAACAGAGATATAGCTGCTAGGAATAATCTTAAAATGAGCCTCTCGGCCAACGCAAATAATTTCAATCAGACCAAATTAGACCAAATCAATGCCCATGTTTACTGCAGCACTCCCTGGTGGCTGGGAAAACACGGTGAGGAAAGAGAGACGGGGCAGGGGGGTGGACATGCAAAACCCAAAGACCAGGTGTTCTTTTTCTCAACCGCAGCCTAAATAGCCTGTGGGAGTGATCCTGACCTTCCCTGAGGAGGAGTCAGCACTTGGCGGGATTTTCCAGAGGTGGAGCTTTCTGCTCCATTGGTGCTCCATTGGTACCCCAAGGATGAATGCTAGGGGCTGGGGTGATGCTTCCAACCCAAACATCCCAGAGTACTTGGATATAGGGGTGTCAGAGGGCTGGGGTCTCACTTCCAATCAAACATCCCAGACTCCTTGGATATAGGGTTGTTGACTCTAGTCTGGCTACTTCCTCCAGGCATGGGATGATTTAAGAGAGAGGGGAGCTGGGAGTTGGGCTCACACTCAGAGAGAGGTGTGGCTGGAGTGGCATCTGGTTTACTGTCATCCTGGAGTCCTCAGGCAGCTGCTTTTTGAGGGAGATGAGAAGGCAGGTGGCTAGGAGAAAAAAATATTGTTATTATTGGCTCTATGAATGGGGCTAGTCTGCCAGAAAGAATGGAACAGGAAGTGCCCTGGTTGTACAGGTGAGGCTCGGGTGTATAATTGGGACACAATAGCAGATAAAACCAGATTTTAGTTGGTAGAGGTCCTTGATTCAGGAGAGTTAGTACCAATGGTGAAATCCCAGGAGCTGGTGTAGGTGTTTGGCGTGGTCTGGAGAGCAGTTTGTTGGCCCAGGCAGCAGGAGTGACCTGTCAAATATGCTTGAAAATGGGAGAGGTTAAAATAGGCTCTAGAGACTGTTAGTTGTTTACCAGCCCTAATTTTTAATATGGCAGTAGAACTTTTTCCAGGAACCTGTGGGTATCTGTCATAGCAAAGGCTATTGCTTTAGGTTAAAAAGGTATGAACATTTTTAAAAGATGTTTAAAGGGAATTGGGAGCTCTGGACTTATAAGATACACCTGAAACTTCTTATTAGTCCTGGACTATGAAGCCTGTTAAAGAGGCACACCTGTCTGTATTTTAGCAGGAAACTTAACAAATGAAGTAATGAGCTACCAGTACCTTATCAAATGCCATTAGACAGATCTGGGAGGGATAAATGAACAAAAATGAGACAAGCTTTTTTAGTGATGCAGGCAATCCCAAATCTCTTTCCAGTCCTTGGAGAACATCAGTCTTAGAAGCACTGCTTGCCATTAGCTGCTGAGTACAAGATGCCCAAAAATTTTTCCTGTGGGGGAAAGATTTTGCCCACCTGTCTGGGCAGGATGAGAAGATCGATTCCCCAGAAGGCATCCAGGAAGCTGAAAGGTGAAAAACTGCTTTTTGCTGTGTGGGTGGCTTTACCAATCCTAGAGGCAAGCCTGGAAGTGAAATGTTCTTTGCAACTATGTATCTTTTGGAGGAACTAAAGGGTGCTGCAGGAGCTGGCATGTCCCTGTGTTAGGAGCTCTTTTACTAAATTCCATACCCTCAGATCTGCAAAGACACTTGAGAATTGGGTACCATTCCCTGTTATTTAAACTGAGCATATAAGCTAAATTTAGATGTTTATTTTATCCAATTAGTTACAGTTTACCAATGCTAGTAAATATAAGATTAAAAGGAATATTTTAATAAGTCAAAGAATATTAGCACATGTGGGTATTTTTACCCAAGATGGTGGTGAGATCAAAATGGTGGTTACCCACATATTTGTATTTTTCTAGAGCTGTTTTAGTCTGGAGTTATCTTAAAACAAGTACACATGCACACAGAAAGATAGATCCACATACTTACACAGACATACTGTGGCCATATCATTCTAACAGACAGACAAATATAACACTTTCAGAAACCTGTGTCAGCTGACCAACTTAAAATCCCAGCATAGTTAGGTGGCAAATGCCAAGAGAATGGAAGGACAGGGGAAATGGATTTGTTTTAAAATCTCAGAGTGAGACAAACAACAAACAGCTGGGGGGGGGGGCATGGGGAAGGGACCCATAGTGAGACAAACAGCAAACAGCTTAGAGAAGCAGGCAGGAGCACGCATCTAGAAACCGTGGGCTACGAAGCCTTGTTTGCTTTACATTAGATGTTAGACAGCCCCAATTTAAAAGGATTTTTGTAAAAGGTTACCCAAGGGTGTTTTGAGTAATCAGCTTGGAATCACAAGGACCCATCAGAAGCCCATGCCTATTGGGACTCAAGTCTGTGGCAATGTGTCCACTGCACAGTACTCTTGAGTCAAAACAGGGGTGCATGAGAAATGAGTGGGGATGTCTCCAAACACCTGGATCTCATCTCAGCTAAGCCCAGCTTAACCACATGTGTCATGCTTTTGGTGCAGCCATGACTTCAACCAAAAGCCTAAAAAGTGAATGGGTCCCCCTGAGGACCCTACCAGCCATATACTCCAGAAGGGGAACTCACCCACTTGAAGCCAATCTTAGCCTGGCAGAGAGTGCAAGGGCATTTTCCAGCACACAGCACCGAGCCTGTAGGAAAAAACAGACCCCCTCAGTGGAAGACGTCCATCATATTAGGAAATAATCCTTAAGACGAGTTTCTCCACTGACACAAATAATTTTAATCAGACCAAATTAGACCAATGATGTGGGACAACTCTGTATTCTGTCAATTATGTTTTAAATAAATGCTGATTGGCCAGTAGTCAAGCTGGAAGTATAGGTGGATCAACCAGACAGGAAGTAGAGCTGGGGCAATGAGAACAGGAGTATTCTGGGGGAAAGGAAGCTCTTTGTGCAGTCCTCCCCAGACCACCAAAGAAGCAGGATGTGACCTGCCCTGCTGAAAAAGGTACCAAACCATGTGGCTAACATATACTAGAATAATGGGCTGGTATATGTTATAAGAGCTAATATGAAGCCTGAGCTAATGGGCCAATCAGTTTATAAGTTATGTAGACCTCTGTGTAATTTCTTTGGGGGGTCACTGGCTGTGGGAACTGGGAAAGACAGAAAGCCCAACAAGCAGGCCCTTCATGTTACAGACCAAATCAATGCCCATGTTTATTTACTGCAGTGCTCCTGGGTGGCTGGGAAAACATGGCAGGGAAAGTGGGGGGGGGGTTCCCACACAAAAGCCAAAGACAACATGTTCTTTTTCTCAGCATCAGCCTAAATAGCCTGTGGGAGTGGTCCTGGCCCTCCCTTGGGAGAGGTCAGCACTTGGTGGGTTTTTCCAGAGGTGGAGTCCAGACCAAGGCAACTCCTAGGGGGAGGGGGCTTGAGATGGAGCTTTCTGCTCCATTGGTGCTCCATTGGCACCCCAAGGATGAATGTCAGGGGCTAGGGTGATGCTTCCAACACAAACAAAAGTTATAAAGTCCTTTTTCCAAGATCAGTCATTTAGATAAACTCCCCATTCCCTTAGTGGCTTAAAGAAATTTCCTACTTCCTAAAAAGGGAGTCATTCACCTTATCTCTGATAAAAGGAACTTGTAGTCCTACCACTAACATATGGCTGGGGTGCTTAGTAACTTGTCAAGGGTAAACTAGCCTCTAGGCTCCCTCAATCCCTGCTCACAAGCCCTACAAAAGCAAGTCCTAGTCTTATGAAAGCTAATAAATTATTCTAAACTGTTAAAGATAATTAAGAAAAATTTGACTAAAGTCTTTAAAGAAAGAAAAGAGTAATATAAAAAATAAGCCAGGTAAGGATGGAAAATACAGAGGGCACGTGGAGCCTATGTGTTGCTTTATTGACTTCAATTTTTTTTAATGTTGGGTGAGTGCATGGCAGCTGCTAAGAGACATTGAATTATAATAGTAACTGCTAAATTAAACCAGCCTATGTACTTTAGGGATGTCTTGACTTCAGAATGGAAGTCAGAAAATGTATTGCATTGGGGAAGAGGTTATGCTTTTGTTTCCACAATAAATGAAAGGCTATGGATTCCTTCAAGGTTAATAAAAATCAGGTTTGGTCAGGGAAGACTTGAAAATCTTGGCTACAGACATAAAGAAACAAACCAAGAAAACCTACAAGACAGATGACATATGTGCAGATCCCTCTGCACGGTAACTGTTCTAAAACTGGACAACAAATAGTTTTCCCAGGACTTGACCAGGGTCTCAATTTTTTCAGGATTCCCTGGAGATGCCATCTCTCCAAACAACAGGAAACAGTCTAAAGAACATGACGCCCACATTCCCAAGAGATGGAGTAGATGATTTCTGGTCATTCCGGGGGTGTTTGTCATTGTTTAGTGGGATTAGTATCAAGTTGTTATTGGTTATGGTCAGGGAAGAAACTAAACAAAGGAGTTTAGATTCAGGAATCTTTTTCCGAAAGGGGGGATATTTTAAAAAAATTATTGAATCTACTTTTAAAATAAAATGATATGATAAAAAGGTAGATTCCACTCTTGGGAATGTACCTAAGAGATGCCCTATTATATGACAAAAGCATTTGTTCAACTATGTTCATAGCAGTATTATTTGTAATAGCCAGAACCTGGAAACAACCTAGATGCCCTTCAATGGAAGAATGGATGAAGAAAGTGTGGAATATATACACATTAGAGTACTATGCTGCAGTAAAAAACAATGACTTCTCGAATTTTGCATGCAAATGGATGGAGATAGAAAACACTATCCTGAGCGAGGTAACCCAGACCCAAAAAGATGAGCATGGGATGTACTCACTCATAATTGGTTTTTAGCCATAAATAAAGGTCACGGAGTGTATACCTGGTGAACCTAAAGAAGCTAAATAAGAAGGTGTTAAATTTATTTAAAAAAAAAAAACACTACTCGTCTCAAATATTTCACATAGGTATGAATTTTTCTATAATGATATAAACTTAGTTATTTTTGCTAATATATATACATATATGTGTTTCTACTCATGTTTAAGGTATTGTGCCTATGTGACTCCTTTAAAAAGATAATATATTATTAAGAAATACAGATTAATAATCATCTAGAATAATCAAACTTATAATTATGTTAGATATGTTTTCAAGGTTAAGCCTAGATTTGTTTGCCTCAGATATGATTAATAGATAATGGTCCTCAAACTTGTCAGAGATCTGATGAATATGGCTTTTAAAATGTTTAATGGATAAAGCTTACTAGGACAGAGAAAGAGTCCCAGCTCCTAGCAGTAATCCCAAGATTTTTAAGGAAGATGGCAGGGCACCACAATGACTCCACCTGGATTGTGGTAATGCTAACTACTGGGCAGCCAGTACCCAGCTACCAGCTACCAGGACCCAGCCCAAACTGTGGACAAGCAGGACACTGGAGAATTGGTTGCCCCATTTTGCCTAGACAAAGTAAAGTCAGTCTTCCCTATGTTCCTCCCTCACAGGAAAAACTCTCACATTCTGGGCCTGGCAACCAAAGATGGATGCTGTCCTGGTACCTCTGCCCCCAATGCTACAGAGACCACAGGAGCATGGGATGGCTATCTAGGTAATGGGCTAGTCTTTGTCATTTTAGTTGATACACAGGCCATTTGTTATATTTTCTGCTGTAATTTATCCTTCTCAGATCTCTAATGGCATTGGTGACTAGACTAACCATAACTCTGTCAGCTTGGCAACAGCAAGAAATCAGAGTCTTCCCCAAGGTTATAGCCACCTTGTTAGTTTATTTCATATGTAAAAATCAAGCCTTGCCTTTTCTAGAGCTACTAGGTCTCCAGTAGAGAAAAGGTAAGCAGGTTTGTCTTGCTAACAGGCTGGAATGTTAGATCAAAAGAAAACTCCCTGTCACAGGGGATAAAATAGCTACCTATAGTGCCTTTTGGCATACCAGAAAAGGTACCTGTTAGAACCAAATACACCCAGATCTATCAATAGGAAGATTCATTGGCTGAAATAGTGCTATACACAGAGCACTCAACCCGCTCTATGTAAAACAGAGAGGTAATTTTACAGCCTTAATAGAAAATTGATATTTCTATATAAACCACTCAGGAATCATTAGACATAATATGGCTTTACTACCATAGAGGCATTGACATAAGGATGGGCCTAATGGCTGCTGTAGCTCAGGGTTGCTGCCTTTGTTCCGGGAAGGGAATACAATGGCTGATAATCCTGGGGAAGAAACATTTTTAGAATCACAAATTTAACTTATCTCTAACAGGCATGGTTAAGATGTTATCATCTCTGAGATATTTTGGAGGTGGCCTCCCTTAGCCAAATTTTGGGTTACATGATTTAATATCTTCTAAGTAAATCTATTTGTAAAGCCTTAATAATCAATTCTATTACTTTTTCTTCTATATCACCCTTACCTCTCCAGTTCCTTTGATAACCCTTATCCTCCATGCTAACCTCTCTGTCTCTTTTCTTCTTTAATATTCCATATGTCCTTTTAGATGGTTATTGTGTGTATTGCATATACTTGTTGCTATAATTTGTACACATAAGGCTTACATCACTGTCATCCTCAACCCCTCAGCCTTCTTATGTTTTGAAATAGGGTCTCTCTGAACCTGGAACTCAAAAATTTGACTTGGTTTGTGGAACAATGAGCTCCATGATCGTCCCGTCTCCACTCCCCCACAGTACTAAAGTTAGGTGTGTGCTGCAACTTCTGGTTTTTTACTTGAGTGCTGAGATTTGAACTCAGATCTTGGTACTTGTGCCGCAAGCACTTTACCTAAACCACCTCACCAGCTTGGTTTTTCAAAATTCTACGATTCTGGCATACCTAGGGAACTTTATATTTTCCTCCTTGGGACTATTTGATTCTCCTTGGTTCCAACATAGAGGTGGATTGTCCCTCTTCAAGTCCCCAGCTTCACCAAGGACCAGCTGTGCAGCTATTGTTAGACAGTTACCTAATCTGGTTGTGCAGTTTCTCAGCTACCGCAATGTGGGAAGGTTTGAGAAAGTCCGTCCAGTAGTCAGATGTCATGACAGCAGCAGGCACTCGATTGACAGGAGCATGAAAACAACAAAATCAGCAGAAATGTCCATGAATCAGGAGCCAGCAAAGCAATACAGTTGGGAGTCAGAGAGGAGAGAGGAACTTGGAAGATGGGGCGTTGCTTTCCTACACTCAGCATAGGTGGAAAGGGCATAGCAAAGTGGACTCATCAGATAACCTATTGGCTTTAAAAAGATACCCATAACTTGGCCACACCATCAACACACCAGATTTTTCAGCTACAGAACCCCAAACTTTCTAACTCCTCCTTTAAAAAAAAATCTAGGCCTTTAGTTATCTGGCACAAGATAGGCCATGTGAAAGGTGCAGTCCCTCCCTCCGGCTCTTCCGCAATTCATGGGCTTCCTTTTTCCCCTTCCTGAGTGAAAGGGCATTTAAAGAACACCAGGGGATAAATTCTGTGGTCTCCGACAGTCCCAGGCACCAGGACACAGTGGTGACCATGAGTGCCTCCACAGAAGCCAGGATGCAGCAGCTGGGTTCCGTGGGTGAGGCCGGGCTGGGGTTGTGGGAGCACGGTGAGGGAAACCAGTGGGGGCAGCTCAGAGTTGAGCCTGCCCAGGCTCTGACTGGCGCTGTGTTCCCTCAGAGGATGAAGAGTGGATGGTCAGTGACACCAGGTGTTCTAATAAAAGCTCCAGACTACGACCACATTCTGGAACCAAGAGTTTAGCAGGTACGGCCGGGTGAGGGGCTGAGGAAGAGTGGACAGTCTTCCCCAGAGTGGGTCTTAAAGAGAGGAAGGCTAGGGCTCTAAACTTCTGTTTCCTGGGGAGAGAGAGGCTGGAGCAGGGAATCATGGGCCACCGGAAAGGCTGGGGTAGGCGGCTAGGGGAAAGGTAACAGACTATGGGAAGAGAAGGCCAGGGAAGGTAGTCATGGGCCATGGGGCAGTAGAGGCTAGGACAAGGAAACTTGGGCCATGGTAAGGTGGAAGTTGGGAACTGAGGGTCCTGGGAAGATGGACGGTACACCGAGAAATTAAGGGTCTTAGGGAAGTGGAACCTGAGGTAGGGGATGCGGGCTTTGGAGAGGTGGCTGGCATAGGGAGCAGAAAATCACAGGCTATGAGGAGATTGAGGGCAGGGAATGAAATCATGGGCCATGTGGAGGTAGAATCTGAGAGTTTGGATTCATGGGCTGGTGGGAGGAGGATGCTGGTCACCTGTCCTGGAATCAGCATAAGGAAGGAACTTCATCATACTTAAAAGTCCACTTTTTCTCTGGCAGGATGCCTGGGACGTGGCCAAATCACCTTGGTCCTGTACTTGCTCTCCTTCCTGTTCGTGGCTGGGCTCCTGCTGATCATTCTTGTCAAAGGTCAGGCACAATGGAGGCCTCACCTCTCTGACCCTGCTCTTCAGCTAGGGCCTTCCTGGGGTCTAGAAGGGAAGTGGGGAATGCAAGCAGATGGCATGTCCTCTAAGGATGCCCCCATCTCTAGTGTAAGGACAGAATGAGAAAAGAGACATGGGTCGGTCCTAGATTCTCCATCCATTTCTCCTTATGATTCAGCTTTCTCTGAGGAGTGGTAGGTTTTCTGGCCTTTGATCAGGATTAAGGAAGACATTAGTGAGAAACTGCCCTAGACTCTGGGGTGCTGATGTGTGCCTATAGTCTCAGCTGCTGGGGAAGCTGAGGCACAATGATCATTTGGGCCAAAGAATATGAGAGAAGCCTGGGCAACAGAATAAGAAATTTGAAAATGGCACAATGTGTTAGAGAACTCAGTACAGGACTTGGCACACAGGAGGTATTTACTAATGAAAACTTTTTTCCCTCCTCAGTTTCCAAGACCCCAAATACCCAGGGGAAAGAGGGATGGAATAAAGAGATCGTCCAGGAACTGACCCAGCTAAAAGACCAACTCAGTGAGTGACCTCAAAACAGATGTGCCAGAGCCTCGGGAGGGCTCCGTGGAAATGGAGTCCATTTTCTTAAATTATCAGATCACTTTGAACCTCAGTTTTCTCCTCTGTGAATTGAGACCACAGGATAACAATAATAAAATGATACTTGATATTTACAGGGGTTGTGCACACAATAGGAACTCAGTGTTCACTGGGGGTGTGTACACAGTCAACATTCAATGTTCATAAGGGTCGTGTGCATAGTAGGCATTCAGTGTGCCCAGAGGACATGCCCGTGCTTGGCTTATAATACATACAGAGGTTGCACACACAGCAGGCACTCCCTGGTCTGTGGGGCTATGTACACATTTAATGCCCACAGGGGCCGTGCACATAGTAGGTACTCAAACTATTCTCTTGGTCTCTGTTCTGATTGCCAAGCCTCAATTTCTCCCAATCTGCAAGATAATACTTGGGACTCCCAGGGTTACAGTGTGGAGGGGGTGTAGAGGGGGGATGGTTCCCTAGGATGCTCTGTCACTCTGAAGGGCCTGAAGGTTGAGCAGACAAAGAACATGGGTATCCAAGTGTGGGTCATTGTGACCTACCCCCTCCCTGGGACTAGACACTCTGCTAGGTAGTCAGTTTCTCAGTCCCCTAAGGAGATTAAAGAAGACATCAATCAGAAACCATCCCAGAAACTGAGACAGTGGCCTATGCCTGCATCCCAGCCATTAGGGAACTGGAACAGGAATGCTCATTTGTGCCAGGGGATTTGTGACAATCTGTTACACAGTGGGGTCCACAAAACAGAAGATCCCCAGGGACCCCGTGCAGATCATGACAAACAGTAGGTATTTAATAATGGCAGTTCTTTATTTTCTTGGCACAGTCTCCCAGGGGCGGAATGAGTCCTCGCAGATCTCTGAGCAACTGATGCAGATGAAAGCTGAACTCCGTAAGTGAACAGAAACCCGAGGTTCCAAGGCTATAGGGGTCAATTTTCTTGAGTCCTCAGAGCTCTTTATGCCTCAGTTTCCTCATTTGTGACTCAGGGCCACCAGTGACAACAAGGATGTCACATGATGTTTACATAGGCAAGCATCCAATAGATATTCAATGTCAATAGGGAACATACATACGCCAGGTACTCGGTGTTCCTAAGGACACATGAACTGTTCATACAGGAGGTACTCAATGTTCTGTTCATAAGGGGCCTGCACACAGTAAGTACTAAGTGTTTTAGGGACCACACACACACTAGGTATTCTATGTTCATGGAAACTTTGGGCACCCACTAGGCAGTCAACGGTTTTAGGGACCACACACACAATAACTACTCATTGTTCACAGTAGACACTTGTGTTCATAGAGACCATATACACAGTAGGCATTCAACATTTACAAAGCCTGCATTGGTCAGGTTCTTTGGAAGAACAAACTCTATAGAAAGAATGTTTATCAAAAGTCTGAGAATCCGGTAACCACTCAGTCCGCAAGGCTGGATGCCTCAGAGTCCCAGTCTGGGACCCTGAAGGATTCCTAGAGGGCCACCGTCCTTCAGGTCACAATGAAAGACTGAAAGGAGCAGGGATTAACATCAGCAAAACTCCAGAGACAGCAGATAGATGGGAAGATGGACAGACAGCAGCAGCCCTGTTTTTCCCTTGGCTTCTGTATGTCTGGGCCAGCATTGGGAGGTGCTGCTCACTAGGCACAGGTCTTCCCTGTCCTGTTCCTCTTTCCTGGAAATACCCTCACCTCTCTGTCCCAAGCTGTGTCTCTTGGCTCATTCCATGTCCAATCACATTCACATCAGCTGTGCCATGAACACAGTAGGATCACTATCTTCACTGAATTTGTGCACACAGTAGGCAGACAATGATCACAGGGACTGTGAAGAGTCGTCACACAATATTCATGAAGTTACACACACAGTAGGCACTCAGTTAAACCAGTCTACTGGCCTCTGTTCTGAGCTCTAAGCCCCTACGTCTCACCATCTAGAAGACAAAGGCCAAGACTCCTGAGTATTAGGTGTCCTAAGCTTCACAGGAGAGGAGCTCCCTGACACTGGGTTGTGACACATGCCCAAAGTCCAAGCTTCACGGGGAAGCTGAGAGATGAGGTGTCCTTATGCCCAGGACTTTGAGAGGTTTTGGTCACGGAGGGAGATCCACCTCAAGAGAGAGATGGCATAATGGCCCTGGGGACCCAGCTCAAGTTGATGCATGCCGTAGTTGTTTAGTAACTGCAGCTCCCCCTCTTTTTTCCTGGCCCAGTTTCCAGTATCCTTAACGTCCAGGTACAGAACCATTCTAAGCAGGAAAAGATCTACCAGCAACTGGTACAGATGAAGGCTGAACTCTGTGAGTGAACAGAGACCAGAGGCCTTGGGGCCTCCGGTGATCTTTACTGTGGGTCAATTTGCTTGAGTCCTCAGACATCTTCGAACCTCAGTCCCATCCTCTGGACTAGCACTTGGTATTTACAGGGGCCATGCAAACAACAAGCACTAAATGTTTACAAAGCAGGCACTCAGTGTTCACGGGGACGTGCACACAGTGGACACTGAGTGTTCATAGCAATTGTGCACACAGCAGGCACCCAGTGCTTACAAAGGCCATGAGCCCATCTCCTGGCCTTAGTTCTGAGCTCTAAGCTCCTACTTCTTCCAGTCTGGAGGAAGTGGAACTAGGACTCCTGAGTTCCCCTTGAGTTGCAAAGGAGCAAAGAAAGTGGAAAGGAAATGGTTCGCCAACATGCTGTGTCAAGTGAGGGCCCTGACTCTGGAGAGCCTGAAGCTAAAAGCAAGCACAGGAACACAGGCATCCAGGCGTGAGTCCATCCTAACCCACTTCCCCAACAGTCCGCCTGTGTCGGCCCTGCCCCTGGGACTGGACGTTCCTCCGAGGAAACTGTTATTTCGTCTCCAAGTACCAGCAGAACTGGAGCCGTGCTGTCAAGGCTTGCCAAGAAGTGGAGGCTCAGCTGGTCATCATCCAAAGTGATGAAGAGCAGGTATATGGTGGGGCACCAGCCTGATTTGGTCGGAGCACCTGGCTCCTGATCACCTGAGATTAGGACAATTTGCCACAGTTATATGGGGGGGGGAGTAGAAATGAGGGGATCCCAAGCCCTCGGCACAGAATCATGTACTGAACGTTTGTGAGTGTTTGGGGGTTTCCTGAAATGCAGGAGATAACACCTCTGTGCTGGTCAGTATTTAGCCACCTGCTCTCTGAGAGACAAAAATCTTGGTGTGCAGCCTGATAAGATAGCTCAGGCGAGAACTAACCCCCACAAGTTGTCCCTTGACCTCTATATACATGCTATGGCTTGCATACCTGCATATATATAGGCACACACACACATATAGGCACACACATACATACATAGGCACACAACTCTCACACACAATGTGCTTGCCAATTCCCCAGGTGTAAACATTCTCATCGTGTGAAATATCAAATTTATAATGGGAGGTCACTGAAGAACAGAAAATAAGGGGTATACATCTTAAGCAACCATGAATTAGTATGACCTACTCCCAGCGCATTAAAGGCAGTCATAAGGAAATTCTGTAGACTTACCCAATATTCTTAAGAGAGATCGTGCAACATTAGCAGGTGTGTGTGGAGAGGCCATCTGTGTACTTCCTGGAACTCACCGAGATCCTGTGGAGTTCTGAGATTAGTGTGTGCATCCATGTCCAGCCAGCTGAGTAGCACGCTGTGCCAGAGTGCATGTGCCCGTAGTCTCCAGATATGAAAATAGCTGATATCATCTAAGCACACATGAGTGCTCATGGCCTGATAGAGAGGAAGGGGAAAGATCAGATTGCAAGTAGAACTTCCATCAAGAGTGTGGGGAGGCACAAGATGAAAGTGGCGGGAGAGAGGGAGATACTCCCTACTCTCCTCTCCTCCTCTAGAGCTTCCTGCAGCAGACTTCCAAAGCTAAAGGAGCAACCTGGATGGGGCTGTCGGACCTGAAGAAGGAAGGCTCATGGCTCTGGGTGGATGACTCACCTCTGTCATCAAGGTACAGCCAGAAAAAGGGAACAACATGTAGAGTGGAATGTAAATAGGTCTTTGATGCTCTGACTTGAGCTGTCTGTGGGGTTCACCTCCCTCTTCCTGGCCCCTTAGGAATAAGAGCTGCCCACATTTGCTGATAGAAGGAGGGCTTCCTACTCATGAACAGACAGAATAGCAGCAAATCCCACCATCAAAATAAGAGACGTTTCCCCCAAGGAATGTGGATGTTAATGTAGGGTATTAATAGAAAATGCAAAATAAAATAAGGCCACCATTGAGGGGACTATTACCATAGGAAGATGTCATGTTGGGTTGGATATATAAATATGCTTATACAATAGCATGATGGACCCGTAGGTTTGATTCCCCCAACACTGCATAATTTAGTGTGATAGCTAATGCCTGTAATCCTAGCTAGTACTTGGGAGATAATGGGAGAAGGATTGGAAGTTCAATGTTATCTTCTGTTACATACTGAGTTCTGAGCCAGCCTGGGCTACATGAGACCCTGTCTCAAAAAGTTTTTGAAAAGGAAAAGTAAAAAGGAAGGAAGGGGGAAGAGGATATGGGAGGAAATGGAAGAGGAGGAGAAGGACAAAGATATCTTAAATATAGTTTATAAAGATGCTCCCAGATCCCACAGCATGGCACAGAGATCATGAGGGAAGAACCACAATCAGTGAGAATATAAGGGAAGGACAAACAGTGGAAAGAGCCTTTACTTTGTTTCCGTGCAGAGGAACAGGAGAGGCAAGCTTAACATCTATTAGTTTGCCATTTCAGGGTCCTGACTCCTAGCTGTCCAGGGCTTGGCATGGGGGCAGGTGAGTTGTATTCCGGAATGCAAGAACCAAGTAAAAAAGGTGGAGTCCAGATCTGAAAATCACACTCTCTCAGTATAGGACATAACCAGAGTCAGAATCCAAAGCCATCTAACTCAGGCATGTCCCTGGATTCAGAACAAGGCCCATCCACCTTATACATTCTAGGAGGGATGTGAGACATTGAGTTTCAGGAAGCTAAGAACGTGGTTCGCAGCATGCCCCTGGAGCAGACTAATGTTTTGTTGACTGACTCTCCAGATTCCAGAAGTATTGGAATAGAGGGGAGCCCAACAATATTGGGGAAGAAGACTGTGTGGAATTCGCTGGGGATGGCTGGAACGACTCCAAATGTGACCTCCAAAAGTTCTGGATCTGCAAGAAGTCTGCAACCCCGTGCACTGCCAGCTGAGAACCAGCTCTTCTCAGCTTCTGCTTCCGTGCTGGTCTGCCAGGTGGATAGACATGTCTCACGTTCCTCTCCCTGCCCGTTGGCCTCAGTATGTTGACCAAAGCACTGGGCTTCTATTTTTATAAAATTTTTCATCCTCTGTGTGTATCCTGGCTTCATTTCTGTTGCTGTGATAAAATGCTCTGACAAAAAGCACCTTATATCCCGGGCTGTCAGGATGATGGGAACTTGAGACAACTGATCATGTCACATCAACAGTCGGGAACAGAAGGAAATGTGTGTGTGTGTGTGTGTGTGTGTGTGTGTGTATGCTCGCTCACTCGCTTGTGCTCAGCTCAGTTTTCCCATTCACTTGATTTAGGACTCATGCCTAGGGAATGGCAGCATCCACAATGGGCTGGATATTCCCACATCTGCTAGCCAGTTAAGACAACCCCCCCACGCACACACACACATGCTCACAGGCCAACCCCATGTAGGAAATACCTCATTCGGACTCTCTTCCCAGGTGACTCTAGGTTATGTCAGGTTAACAACTACAGCTAACTGTCACAGTGGGACTGGCCCTCTGGCTTTCAGGAGTCACCGGGCTAAGGGGTCATGTTTGTCCTCCACCTTAACACTTCAGTACCAGATGTGGGATGCATTCAGAACCTGGGCGTTTTCCAATAATTTACTCTGTCTTCCTTGCCGAGATCAGAGGAGAGAGAGAGAGAGAGAGAGAGAGAGAGAGAGAGAGAGAGAGAGAGAGAGAGTGTGTGTGTGTGTGTGTGTGTGTGTTATGTATACACATATATGTGCCAATGCATACACTTGGAGGCCAGAGAAAGACACTGGTATCCCCATAGCTCTCCACTTTATGCCTTTGAAACAGAACTTAGAGTTCACGGTTTTTCAGCAAGGCTGGCAACCTGAAAATTCCGCATCCTCCTGTCTCCCATCACCTCCTAAAATGGGGCTACAGGCATAGGTAGCCATACCGCGCTTTTCTTAAGTTCTAGGGGTGCAAGCTCAGGTCCTCTTGCTTGCACGGCTGCACTCTTATCCACTGAGCATCTCCTCAGGCCTTGGTCCCTTACCAGGTACTCTTGTTTCCTCTTGCTGTAAGGAAACATCCTGACAGAATGCAAGGTGGGGGTGGGAAGAGGATTCATTGGCTTACATTTCTGGGTTATAGTTCATCACTACAGGGAAATCATGGCAGGAACTTGAGGCAGCTAGTTACATCACATCCTAAAGCAGAGAGAATAAATGCACAGGTGCCTAGCTTTTTCTACTCCTCTACGGTCGCCCAAACCTAGAGAATGATGCTGCCCATGTTAGGATGGGTTTCTCCTCGATTGGCTTAAGGCATTACCCCCCATATGTTCCTTTATGCCCACCCAAAACAGATAGTCCCTTGTTAAGGCTCTTCTTCTACATTGTATCAAACCGACAAAGCTAACCGTTAAAATGTGTCATCTCTGCCTTGTCCCTTGAGGCTTGATTCTATCCCTGTATACTTTCTTTCCATCTGCTCAATTTCCATCAACCTGCCTGAAACCCTTTGGCTGGGAGCCCTCCCTGGTCTCTGAAGCTCATCATGCATATGGAAGCATGAAGCAGATAGTGCTTCCGATTCATCCCTAACTTCCAGGCACTAGCATACAAATACATCCGCTAACAAGCTGGAGAAACAACTCAGCAGTTAAGAGCAGTCACTCTTTCCAATGGAGTCCAGCTCCCAGCACCTGCATATGATGGCACTCCAGCTCCAGGGGAATCTATCACCTTTATATGGCCTGTTTGGGCATTTGCACTTACACAGGGTGCCCATGCCACTGCATATGCATGTGCACGGGCATGAGAGCATATGTGCATGTGCACACACACACACACACACACAAATAACAATTAAATAAAGTATTAAAAACACCAGCTCTCCCCACTCTTTAGAGATAACCATGGTGGTTACTGGGAGGATCTCCTAGAATTCTCCTCAGAGAATGTGTTTCTCCTGCTGCTAGACATTCTGTTGGAAGCAACTTTACCTGTCTGTCTGCTAATGCCTAGCTGCCTTCTTCAACATGAGACTCCCCACCTGAGACAGCTCAGGTGTGTGAGACAGTGCTGTAGTCTTTTTTGGCATCATAGTTCCTCTTTTTTATTTTTAACAAATGTGTTAGCATCACTTTTTCCATGTCTTATCTTGGATGTACTTTGCTTTTTTTGTCTGTTCCAAGTAGTCCTTCTGGTATCATGCATGGGGCTGGCTTGTGTGAGACCATGGACCTCCATCTTTAAGATGTGTTAAAGTCTAACAGCCTGAGGAAAGCAGGCCATTAACCCTCCTAAAGCTACCCAGCTCTGCTGGGAAGATGGAAACTACACGTCTCAGAGCGAAGAAGCGATCCCAAAACAAAGGAGACCTAGTCATGCCTTATCTGAAGCAGGGTGGGTGCTCTGGGGTATCCCTAAGGTCTTTGGAACTGGCAAAGCCTATAAACAAAGTCCCTCGCTACCTCTGCAGCCCTGAGCTTGAGTAATGACCAGACTTCTAATGCTGACGAACCATGTATTCGCCATCCCCTGAAAAAGATCCTAATTTTTTCATACACTGTATTTTAATCTTGTTTCCCCTCCCCACAGCTCCTCCCAGAATCTCTCCACTTTCCTACCCCCCCCCAACTTTATATTCTCTCACTCTCATTCTCACTCTCTCCCTGCTGAGAGCCTTAACCCACATTCCCAGTAGCTCTGCCCCACTGACTTACACTTTCATGCTTTCCTGGGCATCTGACTCACTGTGGTTCCTGCTGACTTGGCTGTTCTGGTGGAATCACCGTACTCCTATTCCCGTAATGCCTGCTGCAGATGTGCCCACTTTACCGTCTGGGCTGTAGCACGTGATCCATTGCTCTCCAGTGTTGCACAGCCAGATTATATGACAGGCCCACAGTCACACAGCTATTTGATGGCGATCTGCATTTGAACATAGGTGATCTGACTCTACAGCCCTCGGTGTAAACCAAGGAAAATAAAATGGTCCCAAAGAGGGGAAATTTCCCAATGGTCAACACTTGTTGAGTGAAAAAGGCTACATATTTTTGTTGTTGCTCTCACAAACTGGAATAGTCTTCATAGGTAGCAAAGAAATCCATGGAACCTGGGAGTTCATTTTCTCCTTTCACTATGTGGGATCTGGGGGTCAGATTTGGGCCAGTAGGATTAGAGGCAAGTGCCTTTATCCAATGACCATTTCATTTTGTTTTTGAAACAGGTTGTTACTGAGCCTTGAACTCACTGATTCAGCTAGATTGGCTGTCCAGTGAGCCCCAAGGATCCTCCTGTTTCTGTCTCCCTGTATTGGGATTATAGATGTAATCCGCCATGCCTAGATTTTTACTCTGGGGTCCAAACTCCATTTGTCATGCTGTGTGGCAAGCACAGTGACTGAGCCATCTTCCCAGTCCCCGATCTTTGCTATTACTTTGAAGTGGAGATGACTTTAATGGGTAGGACAGAGACTGACCCGGTGGTTGAAGTTTAAAAAGACTTCAATATATTCTCTTCTTCCCAAGGATTGAACTCGGGTTGTCAGGCTTGGTAGTGTGCCTGAGACACCTTTCCGGCCCACTGCTACTCCCATTTCCATGTCCCATACCTGGGACTGAATCTGGGAACACCATTACATCCTCATGCTGGATATCCCCCTTCAAACTCATTCTGTATTATATTTTTAATCAGCTTACAAGACTTTACAATTCCATATGACATTTCCATCCTTCCTTTGCTTAGGCTAAACTTCACCACCCCTACTAACCTCCTACTCCTCCATTCTCACCCTTACGTGAATCTTCCTACCACCAATACCCTCTCCACACACTTTAATGAGGAGTTCTACTAATCCCTATCCTTTAGTGCCCTTTCCCCACCCAATGGCTCCTTCCTAGCTTCCTGGTCTTTAAAATCACAAGTTAAACACAGACATCTAAAAACTGAAGCTAAGATCTGCATATGAGAAGCAAAATGTGCTGTCTGTCTTCCTGGAGCTGGATCACTTTATTCAGTACACTATCTTCCAGTTCCATCCATTTACCTATGAATTTCCTAATTACGGTGTTCTCTACAAACGACACAAACTCCACTGTGTATTTTCATCATATTTGACTTACCTATCCATCAGTTGATGAACATCTAAGCTGATTCTGCTTCGTGACTTTTGTGAGCAGAGCAGCAATGAATATGGATGCACGGTATCTCTGCGTTAGGAGAAACAGAACCCTTTGGGCACAGCAATGGTGTGTCTGGGCTCTACAGTAGCTCTATGGTCAGCTGTTTGAGGACCCTCCCTACTGGAAGCCACAGTGGTTGCAGCAGTTTACATTGCCACCGGCAGTGACTAAGTCTTCCTTCCCCCCATCCCCATCAGTACTTCTCTTGTCATTTGTTTTCTTGATCTTTGCAGTTCTGACTGAGGTAAGATGGGATCTCGGAGTTTATTTCCCTCGTGGGCAAAGAAATGAGACACTTTCTAAATTGTTCATTTGTCTTTGTTTTTGTTTGTTTGTTTTGGGAGTTCTGTTTGTTTCTTAAGACAGTTTGGTTCTATAGTTCATTTTTATTGGTTTGTTTTCTTAAGGTTTATTCTTTTAATTTTTGTATATTCTGGATATTAATCTGTAGGATGTGTATAGCTGGTGAAGATTTTGTCTCCTGTAATCTGCTAGTTCATTCTGTAACAGCTTCCTATGATACATAGAAGCTTTTGAATTTCATGAAGTCTCATTTTGCAGTTGTTGGCCTAATTTCCTGACCTATGTGAGTCCTAGTATATAGATATAGATATACCCCTTCCTATACCCATGACCTACCTGAGTCCTGGTATATAGGTATAGGTGTACCCCCTCCCTATTCCTGTGACCTGGGTCCTGGTATATAGATATAGGGATATCTCTCCATATACCCGTGTTCTTAAGATTACTCTCTACTTTTCTACTTTTGGGCAGTTTTAGAGTTTTATATCTTATACTGAGGCTCATGGTCCATTTAAATTTGATTTTGTGTAGAATGAGAAATAAGGACTTAGTTTCCTTCTTCTACATGTGCCTACCAACTTTGACTGGTACCATTTGATGAAGACGCTGTTGTTGGCCTTTTGTCAAGAACTCAAATGGCTGTAGGAGTGTGGAATTATAGCTCGGTCCTCTATTCTACTGTATTGATCTGTTTGTGTGCATGTGCCAGTACCCCAGTGTTTTTATTACTGTGGCTGGGGCAGCAGTTACTGAGACCCCATCTCGAAGGTCCCTATTGACAAGCTCTGTAATTATTCCCAGCTATGACTGTGGTTGTGGCTTCATAAGTTGCAGTGTCTGTGGCCAGTCCTTTAAACCTGCTGAAAATCATATTTAGAAGGTAGTTTGACTATATGATCACTTAACAAAACAGCAATAGTAGATTTTCCCCAGAGTCTATGACCTCCCTAGCTCTGGAGTTTTAGCAAGATTTACAGTACCTTCCTGAAGAGGAGGCTTCAATACAGTAAGAAATAGTTGGTTACTGCCATAACAGTTATGAGGCTCTTACACCAGCGGGCATATCTTTTTTAAAAAAAAAAAAGATATTTATTTTATTTTTAATTTTGTTTGTGTTGGGATATGTACATGTGAGTTCAGGTGCTGTGGTGGTCACAAGTGTCAAGTCCCATGGAGCTGAACTTCCAGGCAATCATGAGCTGCCTGGCATAGGAGTTGAATTCTCCTATGAATCCTCTGAAAAAAAATGAACAATATACATTCTTAACCACTGAGCATCTCTCTAGCCCCAAGACATAGCTACCTCTTAAAAAGTCAGCATTGACACATTTGACACTGTTATCACATTTTACCATGTAGAAGGTCAATATTAGAGGATCCTGAGTCAAAGAAATCTGCATTTTTGCCTTGGCATAACAACAGGTACAAAATGGGAACTACAGTTCTCAGGAGGGAGAAAACTGCATACAAAGCTATAATGTTTAGATTTGACCAAAACTTGACTAACCTAGAAGCACATAAGAAGAGAACCTCAACAAGAGATTGTCTATATGGCATTGGTCTGTGGGTTTGTCTGTGGGAGATTGCCTTATTTAAGTAATTGATTTGGAAAAACCCAGTTTGCTGTGGGTGGCACATTCCCTAGTCAGGAATCCTACCTTCTGTAAGACTGTGAAAACTGAGCTGAGTACAGACAGGCAATCCAGCATAATTTATTCACCTCCCCTCTTGACCGTGATGTGATGTGATAGTTGTCTCAAGCCCCTGCCCAGTGAGTTCCTTGCAATGATGAACTATAATATGGAAGTGTAAGATGAAATTAACCCTTTCTCCCCTGAACTGCTTTTTGTCCAGGTCTTTTCTATCAAAATGACAGAATCAAATCTAGAACCAATAATAAATAACTGAGCTTCAAAATTGTGAAGAGTTAAGATGTTACAAACTAGAGCCAAAAAAAAAATTGAACCATGTTTAGTTCTTCTGAAAACCATTGCTTCTCACCTCTGTATCTGATCTACCAGCCTTATGGCTACCAAGGTTTTAAAATGCATTCTTAGAAGACCTCTAGCTTCCTTCAGTCCAAGGGCTAAGAGCACCACTGGGTAACTTTTTAAATTTGCAGCAGAGGTTTCCCTGTTTCAGTTGGAACTCACCTACCTGTGGTTCTCTACCTCGTCTTTGTTCTACAACTGATAAAATCTCTTGTGACATTTCTACAGTAGAACGTGGTATTTAGGGCAACCTGAATGTGTGCTCCTGGGACCTAGTCACTCATATTTGACCCCAGATAGTTTATTCTAGATCTCATTCCCTTCAAGGTGAGAGCTATGTTTTTGAGCCAATAAAAGTTAGCATAAAATTCTAAGTTCATAAAATAAATAAAGACCAGAGACTATACTCACTGATCATGGTTAATCTGATTATGAGATTATCTCACACAGGGAGTACAGTGTAGAGGCTTTCATGCCCACCTAGACACATACACTACACCCCTCCAATCAAAATGTCAAATATTCCCATAACATTGAAGTCCTTTTAAACCTCAAACACTGGGTCAGTCTCTGTCCTACCCATTAAAGTCATCTCCATTTCAAAGTAATAGCAAAGATCGGGGACTGGGAAGATGGCTCAGTCACTGTGCTTGCCACACAGCATGACAAATGGAGTTTGGATCCCAGAGTAAAAATCTAGGCATGGCGGATTACATCTATAATCCCAATACTGGGGAGACAGAAACAGGAGGATGCTTGGGGCTCACTGAACAGCCAATCTAGCTGAATCAGTGAGTTCAAGGCTCAGTAACAATCTGTCTCAAAAACAAAGTGAAATGGGTCAGCTGAATGGTCATTGGATAAAGGCACTTGCCTCTAATCCTACTGGCCCGAATCTGACCCCCAGATCCCACATAGTGAAAGGAGAAAATGAACTCCCAGTTTCCATGGATTTCTTTGCTACCTATGAAGACTATTCCAGTTTGGGAGAACAACAACAAAAATATGTAGCCTTTTTCACTTAATAAGGTTGACCACTGGGAAATTTCCCCCCTTTGGGACCATTTTATTTTCCTTGGTTTACACCGAGGGCTGTAGAGTCAGATCACCTATGTTCAAATGCAGATCGCCATCAAATAGCTGTATGACTGTGGGCCTGTCATATAATCTGGCTGTGCAACACTGGAGAGCAATGGATCACGTGCTACAGCCCAGACGGTAAAGTGGGCACATCTGCAGCAGGCATTACAGGAATAGGAGTATGGTGATTGCACCAGAACAGCCAAGTCAGCAGGAACCACAGTGAGTCAGATGCCAGGAAAGCATGAAAGTGTAAGTCAGTGGGGGCAGAGCTACTGGGAATGTGGGTTAAGGCTCTCAGCACAAGAGGAAAGGACGTAGCAAAGATGGTCTCCACAGGCTATTAGCATTGATAAAGGCACCTCACAATTTGTCACAGCATGATCTTTCTGCTCCGCACCCCAAACTCCCCAGACCTCTCCCTAAAATTTCCTTGGTTATCCAGCACCAGATGTGCTGCGTCAGGGGTACAGAGGCTCCCTCTAGCTCTTCCACACTCACATCCGGTTCCTTTTCCTCTTCCCATCAGAATGTCTAGGAAGCAGGCATCAGGGGACAACAAATACAAGCTGTGCTCTTCTGCTGTTCCGGACATGAAGCAAGAGCAGTGATGGTAAATGACACTATGGAACCAAGGGTACAGCAAGTGGGCAGGCAGCCCAGGTGAGGATGGGCTGGGACTGCGGGATCTCGGCAAGGGAGTCCTGAGGGGCAGCTCAGAGTTGAGGTTGCCCAAGGCTCTGACTGGCTCTCTGTTCCCCCAGAGGATGAAGAGTGCTTGATCGGTGGCACCAGGGATTCTGCTGTCACCTCTGGATGACGACCAAACTTTGCAATCAAAAGCTTGGCAGCTATAATAATGGTGAGGGGCTGAGGAAAAGTAGACAGCCCTTCCCAGAAATGGGTCCTGGATAATTGGAGTTGGGACCCTAAACTTCTCAGTCCTGGGGAGGTAGATGCTGGAGGTGGAATCCTGGGCCATAAGGAGGTGGAAGCTGAGAGTCCAGACTCGTGTGCTCTGTAGGAGGATGATGGCAGTAAGTCTGTCCTGGGGTCAGGCTGAGGCAGGGGCCACTCTGACTCTAATAACACTACCGTCTCTCCTACAGAGTATCGGAAGCACAGCTGCAACCCCTCGGTCCTGCAGTTGCTCTCGAACTTCCTGTTTTTAGCTTGGCTTCTGCTGATCATTCTTGCCCTAGGTCAGTCACAGTGGGCCCCTCAGCTCTCTGGTCCGGCCCTAGGATCTGTATGAGAAAGGTGGGGAATGTATGTTGGTAACATAACTTTCAGTGGCTTCCAGGAACTTCTCAGAGATACCTCCCTCATCTCTGTTATAAGAGAGGGGAGATGAGAGACAGAGAGAAGAGCCTCTCTGTTCCATTTTCCTATCACCTTCCATCACCCTTCTCTGGGTGTCTGTTTCCTGGCCTTTGAATGTTATTGACCAAAGACTGGAGAGTTGGCTCAGCAGTTAAGAACACTTGCTCTGCCAGAGAACCTGGGTTTGATTCCCAGCATCCACAGCATCCACACAGCGGCACACTATTATCTATAACTCCAGTTCCAGGGTATCCAGCACCGTGTTCTGACTATCTCAGGCACCAGACAAGCACCTGTTGTATATACATACACCATGCAGGTGAAACACTCATACACATAGAATAAAAATAAATCAAAAATTGTTTAAAGACATCGGGCAGAAAGTGTTCTAGACACAGGTAGAAACATGTGCCTGCTTGTGAAACTGAGACAGGACAAGGATGTGGACCCAGGAGAAATCACTGACAACATGGGACCCTTCTTTTAAAAGTGACACAACACCCCAAGGGTCCCAGAGCAGACCATGGCGAAAAGCAGGATTTAATAACTGCATAGATTTTTCTTTATTTCTTTCTTGGCTAAGTCTCAAAGGTCCCCAGCTCCCAGAGTCAAGACAAAATCTACCAGGAGCTCATGCAGCTGAAGACTGAAGTAGATGGTGAGTGACCAGAAACAAGGGATCCACTGCTTCAGGTCTCCACGGGAGAGGAGCCAATCTCCTTTCGTCCTCAGACCTCTTTGAGCCTCAACTTCTTTCTCTGTGAATTGAGATCATAATATAACATGGAGAACAGAGCTCGGTATTTACAGAGCCATGCGCACAGTAGGCACTCAGTGTTCAAAGAATTCTGTGCAGAGTAGGACCATGCTCCCAGGAGCCATTCATGCAACAGGCATTCAGTGTTCAGGGGTTGTGTACACAGTAGGCATACAATGTTCACAGAGGTTATCCATACAGCAAGCACTATCTGCACAGGAGTCTTACACAGGGCCATTAGTATTAACAAGGGCCATCCATACACACCGTAGGCTCTGTAAGTTCACAGATATTGTGCACACAATACATGCAGTCAAGCTGGTCCTGGCCTCTGTTCTGACCTCCAGGCCTCTAACTTCTCCATGTCCGAAGAAGATGGGCTCAGAACTTCTAGGTTCTTCTGGGTGGAGAAGAGGATAAGGAACACACAGAGGGGATGGGCTCCCTAGAGTACTGTGGTGAGGAAGGGTCCTGGCTCTGGAGACCTCAAAGGCTGAAGAGAAATGGGAACACAGGCTTCTAAGTATGTCCTTCTGATGTGTTTCTCCCGACAGATGACTTGTGTCAACCCTACCAAAGGGACTGTGTGTTCTTTCGTGGAAACTGTTATGTCTTCTCCAAGTCCCAAAGCAACTGGTACAACTCCATCAATGCCTGCCAGGAAGTGGGGGCCCAAATGGTCATCATAGAGACTGAGGGGGAGCAGGTCCACTGGTGGGGCACCCCCCTTGTCTGGAACACACATCTGGCTGTGGTCACCTGAGATTGAGAGACCATTTCCCTGACAAAACTATGAGTAAGATGCTGTTTTTTCTACTTGAATAGAGAAGGGTAGGAATGAGGGGTCGCACATACTCTCTGAGACTTGAACATTTCTGAATGATTTATAGATTGCCTGAAGCACAATTGCTATCCTATGTGCTGGGCAGTATTAAATACCTTCCTCACCAAGGGATAGGTGACCTGCTAGAGTAGAGACTAGGGAAATGCCTGTCAGGGACGTATTGCCTTGAGTTTGAAAGCACATTTTGAAAGCTGGTCATGGAGTTTGAGGCAACATCTCATGGAATAAGAGTGCTTGCTGCTTAGGCATGAAGACCTGACTTAGGTACCTCAGCATCCATGAGTAAAGAATACAAGCATGGTCACATGTGCCTAGAACCCCAATATTGGGCATGAGGCCTGCAGACAGGAGAGTCCCTGGGGCTTGCTGACTGTTAGCCTAGCTCCAAGGCCAGTAAGAAATCCTCATTCAAGAGGACTAAGTGGAAACTAGTACAGCAGGATGCCCAATATCTTCCTGTGGCTCTGCATGTGCGCTAACAGTTGCAAACACCTGCACACACATATGCACATACACCACACACACACAGAGAGAGCCAGGTATCATGCCCATATTTAAAAATTATATACTGTTTTATTATTTGATTTTTATGCATGCACACAATGCATTTTGGACCTATTCACACACACCCACTTCTCTCTTTAACTCCTATTGAATCCATCTCTCATCCCCTCCCAATGTCACGCCCCCTCCCTTTTTCTGTATCCCACTGAGTACAATTATGTTGCTACTCATGAGCATGAGGCCATCTGCTAGAGCTTGCTCAGCATATCGGTTTTAAAGAAAACTGACTTTCCCTCCTCCCCTGAAGCCATCAACCATCCTAGTACCTCATGAACAGCACCCCCTCCATGCTACAATGTTAACAAGCTCAATCTTGTGCAAGCAACCATGACTGCTTTGAGTTCAGCTGTGTCCAGATGTCCTCCTCCAGTCTCTGGCTCATACAGTCTTTCTGCCCTCTCTTCTATGATGCTCCCAGGGCCTTGACAGTAGGTACCATACAGATGTCCCATTTGGAGGTTCACACCCCATAGACACTTACTCCCTGCATAGTGTTGGAATAAAGAGGAGCCCAACAATGTCGAGGACGAAGATGGCACAGAGTTCTCTAGGGATGGCTGGAATGATCTCAAATGTGATGCCCTAAATTTCTGGATCTATAAGAAAGCTTTAACTTCATCATGCACCACCAAACAAAAGCCAGTTCATCTCAGCCTCTGCATCCCAAGTTCCAGTATCAGGAGGATGAACTTGACTTGTGTCCATGTCCTTTCTCCTTGTTTGTTGTCCTTGAGGTGTTAATAAAAGCACCCATGCTTCTTGGTTAGATTCCTCACCCTCTATGGATTTGGGCCACTGCTTCCTTCCAGTTCTGCTTCCAGAATGGGGAGCAATTCAGGTTTCCTGTTGCTCAGGTTTCATGGTTGCCCTCTATCTGGGTAACTTAATATTGTTACCAGATATAGGATACATTCCGGACCTTGGAGCTTCCCCTTAATCAACTCTGCCCTCCTTGCAAAGAAAAAAAAATCATAGCATTTTCATTGTAATGTCACAGCTTCCTTTTCATTGTGGTGTCACAGCTGCTGTGTTCCCTAAGCCTCGGTCCCATCCCTGCACACTTCCTGTGCATCTGCTCAGTTCCTCCCAACCTCCGCTGAGCCCTTTGACTGGTATCTTACTTTTCTTGCTCTGACAAAACACCTGTTAGAAACAACTTCAGGAGGGAGGGTTATGCTTGGGCTCCCAGTCTGAACGTTCAGCTCCATAGTAGAGGAGAAGGCAACGGCGCAGGAGAGCAAGGCAGCTCACATTGCAACTGCACTCGGAGAGCAGAGATGAATGTAGGTACTCAGTTTCCTCTCTCCTTTCTCCTCAGTCGGGGACTACAGATCATGAAAGGGTGCTGTCTAGATTTGAGATGTGTCTTCCCACCCTAGATAACAAAATCTGGAAGCTCCCTTCCAGAAGGTCATCTCCTCAGGGACTTTTAGATGTTAGCGTGTTGAAGAGTAACCGCCACAGCAGGGAACTTTCCCTGGTAGGTGTAGCCCATTCTGCAGACTGAGACACCCATCCTTTTCCTTCTGGGAGCTTCCACCCACACAACGAACTGATCCATGCTTGCTTGGACCACTGACCAAGCCAAGATGACCACATGGTTCCTTGGGAGTCCCCAATGCTACTAGGTCCCCAGAGGACCACTGTACCTTCGGACTTTCCCCGTGCTGTTGGCATTCATTCAAGCACCCCCAAATTCCTTCCATCTTCCCAGATGTCCACTAAGATGATGGGAATGGCAGACTCAAAGGCGGCTCTGGTGCTCTGGGACTCCCCACCATCCTGTCCATGATGGCTGTCCATCTCTTACTTTATGCTATCTTTCTTAACGCAGTTCCTCTCCAGGTTTGACAGACTGTCACCCCTCCTTTGAAGACTCCACTCCTGCTTTCTCAGATACAATGAGCTGTTACTTTCTTAATGGCCCCTCCCTAGAGTGTGATTCATGGCTCCCATCACATGGCACCCTTCTATAGTAAAGCTCATTCCTGGAGGGCAACTTTGTGCCAGCTCCTTTCCGAATCAACCCACTCACTGGTCCTCTTTCCTCTGTTGATGGCATTTAAACCGATTCCAACTCCTTGCTACTGTGAGAAGTGTAGCAGTAAATATGAATGAGAATTACTTTATATACACAGTGGAATCTTATTCAGCTGTAAGAAATGAAATTTGCAGGCTAATGCATGGGTCTGGAAAACATTGAGGTTACTCGGACTCAGAAACAAAAACACTGCATGTTCTCCTGTACATGTGAATCCCAACATTTTATGTGCATACTTGACTATGAGTGTGGTGTAGACTGTGAAACTAGAACTGAGACCCGGAAAGGAGAGAGAGAAGTACCGAGGGAGTGTGAGAACTAGAGCATGTGACCTGAAATCAGAGAAGGGAGCGGGGAAGAAGAGGTGGGAGGGGAAGGGAGTGGGGGAAAAGAGATAAGAGAATCAATAAAAAGCTAATTGGGTTTTAAAATATATTTGTATGCTATTGCACTGTTTTAATTGTTACTACATTTATTTAGTTTTGGGAGGTCAGAGGACAACTTATGGAGTTGGTTCTCTCCTTCTAGCATAGGGGTCTCCGCAATTGAACACAAGTCATCAGGCTTAGCGGCAAGCACCTTTACCCACTGAGCCATCTCGCCTACCCATTAATAATATGTTAATGAATACAGTGATGACTCCTCTCAGCTTCCCAGTCAGCAGAAATCACCATGATTTATGGCACCAGCATAACTTGGCGTCAGAGGGCACAGTTTTCTGGGAACACTGGAGACATTGCAAACCCCCATCTTTGTCACTGATGAAGAAGAAATTAAATGAAACTTTAGAGCTAGAGAAAAGGCTCAGTAAAATAAATAAATAAAATGCTTACCTCAGAATCATGAAATCCTAAATTCAGTTCCCAAACCGCATTTGAAAAAAAAAAGTCAGGTGTTATGGCATTTGGTTTGTAATCCCAGTGCTGAGAAGGAAGAGATCAGTAAATTCCTAGGTCTCACTGGCTTGTAGCTACAAGTAGTCTCTGTCCCACTGGTCCCCCTGGACAGGGTTTTCTTTGCTTGACTGTTTCTGAAGCAGCTTATAAAATAAGGCTTAATATTTAATTACATACTCTTTAGCCTGTTAGCTCAGGCTTCTTATTAACTAACTCTTACATCTTAAATTAACCCATTTTTATTATTTTATATTTTACCATGAGGCTCATGGTTTGTTACCTCACATCTTGCTTTCTTGGTGGTTGCTGGCATCTGCCTGATTTGCCTTCTTTCTTCTGCATTCAGTTTAGTTTTCCCACCTAGCTATATTCGGCCCTGCCATAGGCCAAAGTAGCTTCTTTATTAATCAATGGTAATAAAACACATTCACAGCATACAGAGGGGAATCCCACATCACTCAGTGGGTTCTAGGCCAGTGAGAAAACACTACTGACTGAGAAGCTAGGACTAAGTCATCATTGTATTTCTGTGTGTGTGTGTGTGTGTGTGTGTGTGTGTGTGTGTGTGTGTCCATGAGCATACAGTTAAATATTAGTGAGGGAGAGACGTTTTCTTCACTGGTGTAGCCACTGGTAAGATGTCCCATGCTCTTGTAAATAAACCCTCACCGTTGCTTCTTCTGTAAGCAAACCCCCGTGAAACTCTTTGGGACACACAAACATGAATGTGCTTGCATACACACACAAAAATTACCATGAAAGTATAAGGTTGTACTTGGAAAGAGGGAGGAAATGGGCAGGAAGAGGAAAAGAGAAAGTAACAGGTGAATATTATCAAAATACGTTACAGATCATGTAAGCATTGCAACTGAGATGGAAAGAGATCCTGGCAGTCAGGAGCCAAGGAATACCGTGGAGCCACTGTAAGCAGAGCAACTTGAAGCCCTGCTCCAGGGAAAGGTTTCCCCAATGTATCAACTCTGTCCCCACTGGGGGAAGGTTTCCCCAGTGAAAGTATTACAGTTCTGCTCTGCTCCAGCAAAAGATCATCACCCAAACCTCATTCAAGAATTTTATTGGGAGGGAAGAATCTAGGAGGGTGACTGTCTCTAGGGTGAGGTGGCAGCAAACTGAACAGGGATGGGCAGAGCTTTTCTGGGTGGCTTGAGATTGGTGTATTTTTGTGATCAAGCCAGACCCAAAAAGAGGAACATGGGATGTACTCACTTATATTTGGTTTCTAACCATAAACAAAGGACATTGAGCCTATAATTTGTGATCCTAGAGAAGCTAAATAAGAAGGTGAACCCAAAGAAAAACATATAGGCATCCTCCTGAATATTAACCTTCATCAGGCAATGAAAGGAGACTGAGACAGAGACCCACATTGGAGCACCGGACTGAAACCTCAAGGTCCAAATCAGGAGCAGAAGGAGAGAGAGCACGAGCAAGGAACTCAGGACCGCGAGGGGTACACCCACACACTGAGACAATGGGGATGTTCTATCGGGAACTCACCAAGGCCAGCTGACCTGGGTCTGAAAAAGCCTGGGTTAAAACCGGTCTCGCTGAACATAGTGGACAATGAGGACTACTGAGAACTCAAGAACAATGGCAATGGGTTTTTGATCCTACTGCACGTACTGGCTTTGTGGGAGCCTAGGCAGTTTGGATGCTCACCTTACTAGACCTGGATGGAGGTGGGTGGTCCTTGGACTTCCCACAGGGCAGGGAACCCTGATTGCTCTTCGGGCTGACGAGGGAGGGGGACTTGATCGGGGGAGGGAAATGGGGGGAGGGAAATGGGAGGCGGTGGCGGGGAGGAGGCAGAAATCTTTAATAAATAAATAAAAAATAAAAAAGAAGGTACTAAAAAGTATATTTCAACAGGTGCAGAGAACTGATTAGGTATATTTGGTCACTAGATGAAATAAAGGGTTAGGAGGAGGAAGGGCCATGATAGCGATAATGAGACAGAAACTTTCTATTCATAAGATGAAACCACTTGTTTGAGGTTTACATTCTCAACAACAAGATTTCCTCTCCTAAGGATGCTTTATGTCTAACCCCTGTTCCTGATAATATGCTTTTCTTAAATATCGCTGATGTGACTAAAAGAAGCTTTCATACTATGCCAACCAATGACACATGACCTTCTGATTTGTTCTTTGTTTGAATACTATATAATGAAAACATGAATTCAGTAAAATTGCAGCAGATTCCAACCACTCTCTTGTGTGTTGTGTCTGTCTGTCATTCGCCGAACTTGTGCCTTCCTGTTACCAAGACCCTGCTTCTCCCACGGTCTGAGTGGCTCCCCTGAGCCAGTCCGTGGCAGCTAGGTAGTCAGTCCTGCTGCTCCGGTGGTGACACTGGTGGTTATGCCTAGGGCTGCGAGAAAGGGTGTGACCTGAATTGCTCATTTCTCGTGCCATGCTGCTATAAACCCAGTAACGGGAACTGGCACGGGTTCTTCACCAGGTTAACCCCCTAGCATTGAAAAAAGGAACACCAGGGCACAGACCACCTAGCGGCATACTTATGTGCCACAGAGAATAGATGCAGTGTGAATGTTTGGGCATAGGAGTTGGGGGGTGGGGGTTGTACTAAGGGTTATGGTACTATTACAATCCGCAGGAGTCAGGGTGTTCACAAAGTGTGTTCCTGAGGAGTTAAAGCAGTCTGTGTGAGAGAGATGGGAGAGATAAAGG